AGTTAGGGAGGATTCCCTCTTTTTGTATCGTTTGGAATAGTTTCAGAAGGAATGGTACCAGCTCCTCTTTGTACCTCTGGTAGAATTCAGCTGTGAGCCCATCTGGTCCTGGACTTTCTTTGGTTGGTAGGCTATTAATTGCTGACTCAATTTCAGACCTTGCTATTGGTCTATTCACGATTCAACTTCTTCCTGGTTTAGTCTTGGGATGGTGTAAATGTCCAGGAATTTATTTATTTCTTCTAGATTTACTTGTTTCTTTGCATAGAAGTGTTTGTAGTAATCTCTGATGGTAGTTTGTATTTTTGTGGGATCGATGGTGATATCCCCTTTATCATTTTTTATTGCATCTATTCAAATGTTCTCTCTCTTCTTCTTTATTAGTCTGGCTAGCAGTCTATCTATTTTGTTGATCTTTAAAAAAAAAAAAAACCCAGCTTCTGGATTTATTGATATTTTTGAAGGGTTTTTTGGTGTGTCTCTATAACCTTCAGTTGTGCTCTGATCTTAGTTATATCTTGTCTTCTGAATAGCTTTTGAATTTGTTTGATCTTGCTCCTCTAGTTCTTTTAATCATGACATTAGGGTGTTGACTTTAGATCTTTCCTTGTTTCTCTGGTGGGCACTTAGTGTCTAGAGGGGAACTTTTAGCACTGTTTTAAATGTGTCCCAGAGATTCTGGTGCATTGTGTCTTCATTCTCATTGGTTTCGAAGAACAGCTTTATTTTGCCTTCATTTCATTATTTATCCAGTGGTCTTTCTGGAACAAGTCTTTCAGTTTCCATGTGGTTGTGTGGTTTTGAGTGAGTTTCTTAATTCTAAGTTCTGATTTGATTGCACTGTGATCTGAGAGACTGTTTTTTATGATTTCCATTCTTTTGCATTGGCTGAGGAGTGTTTTACTTCTAATTATGTGGTCAGTTTTGGAATAAGTGTGATGTGCTGTGAGAAGAATGTATATTCTGTGGTTTTGGGGTGGAGAGTTCTGTAGATGTCAGTTAGGTCTGCTTGGTCCAGATCTGAGTTCAAGTCCTGGATATCCTTGTTAATTTTCTGTCTTGTTGATCTGTCTAATATTTACTTAATGGTCAAATAAAACATTAATTATAAATTCTTTATCTTTACAAATTATAAAACAGAAAGATGTAAAATGACATAACAATAAAATTCAAATTAGTGGCACTGATTTAATGTGATAGATGCATTTACTTTGCTGAAACAGCCATACCTTGTAATATAACCATGGGATTGGAACTACAGGCTCTTTGGATGCAGATACCTTCATGTCACATGTGATAGGATGACTCGGTTAACATTGTACAGTTGTCTACTGCGAGACCTTTGTGAAGCCCTTTGGCTTCCATCATATACAAAAATGTTATTGATGAGTTATGTCCATTTCTGAATAACTCCTTGGTGCCAATGTGATTGTGCTACAAACTCAGGTACCAATGTTGTATGATGGTTCTTGGTTATAAGGGGGTGATTAGATAATAAATAATGTGCTTATTTTTATTTTTTTAAATTTGGTATTATGTTTCACTGGAAATTAAGCCCTTATAAGAGCAGTGGCTTTGTTTTGCTCTCTGCTGTATTTTTGGTGCTGAGCATAGTACCTAGAACAGCTCTGCCCTATAGATATATAATCCAACCATAGATATCTGTAGATATGAATCACACATGCAATTTGGAATTTTCTAGTAGCCACATTTCAAACAGTGAAAAAGGAACAGGTGGAATTAACTTTAATAACATTATATTTATCCCAGTATATTCAAAATACTATCATTTTATGTGTAATTGATATTCAAATCACTAATGAGATATTTTACATTTTTTTGTTCTAAGTTTGCAAAATTTGGTATGAATTATTTTACATTTAAAGCATCTCTCAGTTAAGGCTAGCCACATTTCAAGTGCTCAGTAGTCACATGTGGCTAGTGGCTACTATATTGAACAATACAGATATAGAAGATAATAGGTACTTAATAAACTTTAAAAAAACGTTGCTGATGGCCAGATGCAGTGGCTCATGCCTGTAATCCCAACACTTTGGGAGGCTGAGGCAGGCAGTTCAGGAGGTTAGGAGATCAAGACCAACCTGGCCAACATGGTGAAACCCCCCATCTCTACTAAAAATACAAAATTTAGCCAGGCATGGTGCCGCTCACCTGTAGTCCCAGCTGTTCGGGGAGGTTGAGGCAGGAGAATCCCTTTAACCTGGGAGGCAGAGATCATGCCATTGTACTTCAGACTGGGCAACAATAAGTGAAATTCCATCTCAAAAAAAAATGTTGCTCTATGAATGATAAAAAGAACTTTGAGGTCCTCAAACGTTCAAACATGCTGGTTTCAGTGATTCTGATGCTGTCACTCATATTATAGTGGGGAAACAAACAAAAGAAGTGATTGTAAACCTCTTATTTCTCAGGTGAATAAATGCAGTGGCATCTTCCTACCTGGACACCTTGCATCCAGCCTAGCTCCCTTGTAATCATTGCTACCCAGGACAGCTAGATTGCCTTTTCCTAAAGTGCAAAGCTTATTAAGTCCCTTCCTTGTTCAAAAACCCTCCAGTGGCTTCTCTTCAACATTAAAATAAAGTCCAGATTCCTTAGCATGGATTGGAAGGCCCATGATGATCTGGCCCTTATATTCTCTGCCACATCCAGACTGGATTTATTCCTGTTTTTTTTTTGTTTGTTTGTTTGGTTGGTTGTTTGTTTTCACATGCTGCTTCATGTGTCTGCAACATTCCTTCTCCTCATTCCTTGGCTAACTCTCACGTATCAATGAAGTACAGGTTAAATGTCACTACTGCCAGGAAGCGCTCCCTGACCCCATGGACTATTTAGCTCTCTGATTCTTGCTGCTGTTTACTGCTCTAGTTAAATATTCTTTACTCTCAGCTCCCACATCAAAGCCCTGTTTTCAGGAGCTGTACCTCTTACTTTTTGGCAGCTGGGACAGCTTAGGAAAGACAAAGTCTGACTTGGATCGTAAAGGACTAGGAGATTTTATTGTCATCACAAAGTGCGGTCAGAAGTCTTGAGAGAAAAGAATTGGACATTTTCTACTTGGTTAAAAAATGTTAGGCTAAGCCTTAAGTAAATTGCAGAAATCCCATTCTTCCCATCACCATGTGGATCAGGGAAATATTCTAGTTAAGGTCAGCTGGCCACTGTGTTCTTTATTCCGGTTGGGAGCTGTGAGTTGTTGGAAAACTTGTGACTCCTCTGTCCTTGGGTATTGAGGGCTCCTCCTAGGTCCTCCCCCTCATCAATTAAAATGACTCACACAGCAATGATATTTAGCATACAAATTAACTAGAACAGTGGTTCTGAACCACAGGAGCATCTCAGAATCACCAGGGAGTTTTCCTAAAATACAGCTATTACATATCCACTCTCCCCTACTCCCCTTCTAGGCCCATGAATCAGAATCTCTCAGGATGGGGGCCACCAATATGTACTATGTGTAGGCTTCTCAGACAACTCTGATATTTCATATCTGGTTAAGAATTACCGAGCTAGAGTAAGAAGAGCAAAGTAACCTAAAACCAGAGGCTTCGCAGATTATGATGGCTGGCTTCTTAAGAAGGCACTGTAGGTGGCTAGGGGCAATAACATTTCTTATTCCAGGAGCACAGTCTGGAAGAACTATTAACCAGGGGTTGGAAAGGGCACCTAGTATTGAAAGGCAAGAGAATTCGGAACTCAACTGATCAGGCTTTATTTGTTCCTTGTGCAGCTAGCTTGTAATCTTAAGTTTTTATTGCAAAACTGCCAATTTGGTTTTACAATGCAATAAAAGTCTGATGTGTTATGACACTTTGCATTTGTTATTCACTGTATCTGTTAAAAGATGAAATAGTTTATTAAAAATTGTTCTCAAGCCACGTTCAAACGCCGGTTTGTAAAGACAAGGTAGCAAAGTAAAATCTGATGTTTTATCATCTATTGGCCATGAGGCTTTAGAGGTGAAGTTGAAAAGTAGTACCTGTATATTTGGGGTGGGGATTGAGGGAGACATAGTGTTGGCCACCACAGTATTTGATATTTTTCAACACGTACTTACTGAGGGCCTATGATATGCCAGATCTAGTTTCTAGCAGTGAAAACAAAGCCCAAATCCATGCCCTCATAGAGCTTACATTTTTATGGGAAAAAATACATGAATAAGTAAGTTATTATATAGTACTATAGATGTGGTAATTACTATGGAGAAAAATAAAGCCTAGGAGGAGGATAGACATTATTGTGTGTGGAGTGGGAATGGACAGGAGGGTGTTGGTGACACTTGAGCACAGACCTAGAGGAGAAAAAGGGATGAACCATGCAGGTATCTCGGAGTAAAGTGTTCCAGATGGAATGGTAAGTGCAAAGACCCTGAGGCAGGAGAATATTTGGAACATCTGAATGGTAAGGGGATGGTAGGAGTTGAGGTGGGGAGGTAACAAGGGGCACAGGTGGCTACAGCAAGGAGGTCAGCTTTTACTTTGAGTGAGATGAACAGTCATTGCCGACTTTTGATCCAAGATGTAAGAGACATAATTTTAAGAGGATTATTAGGATAGTGGATGGGAACTGCACTCTCCAGAGACAATGGTGAGGCAGGAAGACCCTTTAGGAAGCTGTTGCAATATCCTAGAAGTGGCTTGGACCTGAGTCACAGAGGTGAAGGTAGCGAGAAGGCAGGCAGATTCTCAGTACATTTTACAGGTAGAGCTAACAGGATTTGCTGAATGCAGGGTGTTGAAAATATGTGCTTTGAATGAAGAGATCCCCCAAACGGGCTTTGTGTGAGTAACATGGCTGTTTATTCACCTGGGTGCAGGTGGGCTAAGGCTAAAAACGGCATTAACAAAGGGCAGTGGGATAGAAGTTGGTTTTATAGGTTTGGGGTGGGCAGTGGAGAGTTACAGAGTCAGATCAGTTACAGTGGTGGGGGTAGGGGCAAGGAGTATATATTACCATAAGTTCAGTTAGACTGGCAGGTGGGATAAGAGTAGTTAAGATGGCAGGGTGGGGTGGTGAAGAGTATTCACATTATCATAATAACAGTTAAGATGCAGGGTAGGGTGAGGGGCTTGTCCGGGGAAGCTCCACTGGGTGATTAGGGACAACGGCGAATGCAGACAGCGGGTGGGAGACGATCAGCTGAAGCAAGCAGGACTTCAGACTTCAGGCTTGCACATGGAGGCCTGATATACCTGTCTCTTTATATATAGAGAGAAAGAATTAGAGAAGGGGCGATAACAGGCTTCAGGGGATGGGGGCGAATTTTCTCAAGGCTTCTTCGAATGGGATTGGGGGTGGGGTGGAAACCTAAAAATGGGAAAGAATTTAGACTGCTGGGAGATTTCGGGGAAATGGGTAATATTGTGAGGTTGTTAGGAGCATTTGTCGTATTGACTAATTGGTTATTGCTTGTATACAATTTTGTAGGAATTGAGAGATTAATTGGAAAAACACTTAAATAAGTGAAGGAGAAAGACAGTATTAGAGGACTAAGGATTGGAAGAAGCCATGACTCCCAGTTAGTGTCCAGCCAGGTCCAGAATAACCATTTGCCTGATTAGTGAGCTTTTGGCCTCTGTCTCTTAATTTATTGATGGCATTGTATACGAGGCCAGGATGGTTTACGTAAAAACATTTTTTTGGAGCTTTGGACCCAAATGCCAAGGGAATCAGCAAGGGCTGCTGCTGTTAAAAGTTGTAGCAGGGTTGGGTGGGGTAACTGTGCAGGGAGAGCTTTTGTTTTTGTGGCGGTAGGAGGAAGTGTGTGGTATTTGTAAGTAACCACTTAGTTTCATTAACAAGATGGGGCATGAGCAGAGAATGGAGCCAGATTAAGAGTGAAATATGAGCTGTAATTGCCTGGAGGAAATGTGTAAACCAGCACCTTGAACAAAAACAGGGCATGTAAAACTAAATAAGTACAGTGAATTTGGGCACAGTTAGACAGAAAATAATAGAAACAGACCTTTAGAGTTGTGGTGTAAGTAGTAGGGGTGACTGCATAAAGGTGGAGAAGGCGAGGGGCTGAAAGTAAGTGTGAGGTATAAAGAGAAAACTTTGGAGGCTGTGAGAGCTAGGGGCAAATGGGGCATAGCCTGTGATTTTGAGGGATTTTAAGAGTATGAGGGCAGCAGGTGCTGCTGTGTGTTATGAGGGCCAGCCCAGGACTGCTAGGTTAAGTTGTTTGGATAAAAAGGCTACAGGCTCTGGGCCTGGCTCCTGTGTAAGAATTCTGACCGCACAGCCCTGGATTTTAGCAGTATATAATGAAAAGTGTTGAGACAAGTTGGGGAGAGCTAGGGAGGGAGCAGTTTTTAGAGCTGTTTTTAAGGAGTGAAAGGGGGAGTGAGGAGAGGATTTAGGATGAATAGGGTTGGATAAGTTTTCTTCAGTGAATTTATATAATGGTTAGTTAGAAGAGCAAAACCTGGTATCCAGAGGTGAAACCAGCAACCACACCCTGGAAGGAGAGAAGCTGTTTGGTGGATGGGGTTGGGATTTGGGAAATTAACTGGATATGGTTTGCAGGGAGAGCATGTGTATGCTGGTGAAAGATTGTAACATATGGGAATAAATTTGGGTTTTGGAAGGAATATATGTTACCCCTTTGAGTATAGATGCTGAAGAAGCAGGAGGGTGATTTGAAAGGCCATGTTGCAATAGACAAGTGATAATAGGCTTACACCTTTTAAAGCCTGTTGTGGGATGGGGTACTGGGGCTGGGCAGGGTAAGACTGGTTAGGTTTTAAGGGGATGATGAGGGGTGAGTGATTTGTAGCAACGGATAGGAAGGCGGTATTTTACACCTAGGGTTAAGGTAAGGGGACATGACGGGACCTATTGAGGGAGGTTTGGGTTTAGGGAGGAGGGAGGCAATGAGATGCGGCTGTAGCTTAGGGTTAGTTATGGAGGCAGACAATTTTGTTAGGGTATCTTGGCTTAACAGGGGAACTGGACAAGTGGGGATGATTAGGAAAGAATGTGGAAAGGAGTGCTGACCTAATTGACACCAAACTTAGTTTTGAGAGGCCTGGAAGCCTTGCTGTTAATTCCCACAACAGTTATGGAGGCCAAGGAGACAGGTCCTTGAAAAGAAGGCCGCGTGGAGTGGGTGGCCTCCATGTTGCTTAAGAAGGGGATGGATTTAACCTCCACTGTAAGAGTTACCCGAAGTTTGGCGTCTGTGATGGTTCAGGGGGCTCCCAAGATGCTTGGGCAGCGTTAGTCTTTAGCCACCAAGCTGAGGATTGGAGCTTTGGGAGGAGCGACGTGAGTTGGACAGCTGACTTTGTGTGGGGGACCCCCCCGCACAGACTGGGCAGGGCTTAAGAGGAATTCTGGGCTGCAGGCATTCCTTGGCCCAGAGGCCAGGTTTCCCACACTTAAAGCAAGGTGCAGGAAGGGCAGCTGGACGCACTGCAGTCTGGGCACTTTGAAGCTTTTGTGAGCTGTTGGTGTGGCTGGGATTTGTCTTACAGCAGAGGCGAGCATTTGTAGTTCTGAGATGCGATGCTGCCAGGCAGGTTTTTCCCTATTGAACACCTTGAAGGTGAGGTTGCTTAATTCCTGTTGTGGGGATTTGAGGGCCAGATCTTAATTTTTGTGCCTTTTTGTAATGTTAGGGGCTGATTGGGTGATAAAATGCATATTAAGCATTTTTCACTGGTGAGAGAAGGATGACATTTAATTTACTCCAGGTGAGATTATAGGACTGGGTTAAGTATTGGAGGATTTGATGAAAAGGAGCCTAACCGGTGGCCAATTTGGGAAAGATTGGCCAAAGAGAAAGGAATGTGCACCTTAACTATGCCTTTGGCTCCAGCCACCTCTGGAAGGGGGAATTGTTGGGAGGGGCAGAGGAGGTAGCCGTGGGACTAAACTGTAAGCTGGGCCAAGTGTGAGGTGGGGAGGTGACAGGAGAGGCATACGGAGGTGGGTTGTGGGCAGAGGAAGAGAAGCAAGGCTTTGAAGGGTGGGGTTAGGTCCTGGATTAGGGCCTGGTTTGGACAGGCAGGGAGGAGAAAGATTGGAAGGGTTGATAGACAAGGAGGAGTCTGGGTTACCAGCAGAGGAAGGAGGGGCAGACTGAAGGGAAAGAAGAAGTAGAGATTAGGGAGGGATTGGTATGTAAAAAATGATGCCTGGATGTAGAGAATTTTAGACCATTTGTCCATGTTGCAACAAAAATTGTTTAAATCTTATAGAGAGGTACCAGTTTTTGGCCAGTTGGAACCATTGTTTAACTTGTATTGTGGCCATGCAGTGGCCCAGTAAAGAGAATGCAGTGTTACAGAAGAAGATGAGATATTTAGGTTTTAGGTCAGGAGACAGTTGAAGAGGCTTGAGGTTTTTTAGAATACAGGCCAGCAGAGAGGAGGGAGGGATAGAGGACGGACAATTGCCCGTGTTTCTGGAAAGTCAGCAGACAAGGAAAATGGGCACGCAACCCAGTCACTTAACAGGTGTCCCTAGTTGAGCCTGGGTTGTACCTTCTCGTTGGTTGGCAATTAAAGAGAGCGTCCTCTGCGTTGACCTGCCACCAATATTAGCCATAAGCCTGGTGAGCGAGTGACTAGGGTGGACGTCTCCACGATAGTCAAACCCCTGGGGAAAGCTGGGTCCCAGGATCCATGACCTACTTAGGAATTTTCCGGTCCTGAACCTCACGGAAGAACCTGGTTTACCTGATTTTCCTTGTCTTGTGGTGGAAAAAAGGACAAAACTGAAAGGGGGAGGAAGTGGAAAGGAAAAGACAAAAGAATGGGAAAGCAAAAGAGACTGCTCAGCAAAATAGCCGGTGGTATGCATCTGTGGGCTAGTCTGATGAACCCACGTTGGTAGGTAGGTTCCTTCATGGAGGGAGCACAAGAACTCCTGTAGGAGTTCCCCTGTCTCGGGTTTTGGCACCAAATGTTGAAAATGTGTGCTTTTCTGAAAGAGTGAAGGAAGAGGCAGGTTTCTGGCCTGAGCAACTGGAGGAATAGGGTGGCAGTTCACTGAGTTAGGGAAGACCATCATGGGGGATGGGGGAGCAGAATGCGGGCAATGCCTGGAAGTTCAGGAATTTGGTTCAGACCAGCTTACAAAAGTGAGTTGAGGTTTGGTTTGTTGCAGCACTAAAGTTGCTGCTACACAGAGTTGCTGATTCTAAAGTCTTGATGTATCATTAAGCTTTCTAAGAAGAGGCACAATGGAACCACAAGGCTCAGGACTTAGGTTCTCTTCCCTACGTGGCTGGGAGACACTGTGAAATGAGAGCAGATGTTTTTGGGAATCCAGGCTTCATTTTCTTCATCAGTAAAAGAGGGTTAAAATATGTGCTCTATAAAGTCCCCTGTAGCTCTGTCATTCTGAAAACTTTGTCTGGATCATTCACTTATAGGCTACATTTTTGCCTTAGTAATAGTGAAGACTAACTTTGATCCCCAGTAAAGCAAATTATTATCCTCCAAGAAGAATTTTAATCTTCTCATTAGTAGCTATGTACTGTAAAAATTGTACTTAATTATGATTATCATATTTAAAATTTAGAGAAAAACATCACAAAAAAGACATTTTAATAAATTATATCAGGACAGAAAATTTTGGATAATCTTTTTTCCTACTAGAAAATGACCAACAAAAGTTGTCATTTGACCTGAGTTAGTGAGGTGGCAGGAAGCATTAAGACTCTGGGGAGGGTGTGAATCTAGTGTGTAGACTCCACAATTTCGGGAAGAACCAAGCCCTTTTCTTTCACAGCTGGGAGGCCGGTATCCTGGGTAAGTTCTTAAGCCCAGTTCACCCACCACCTGGAAATAGACTAAAAGATGTTAGTGGGGGGACATGGTGGGAGTGAGACTGGCCCTTTGGTTTGCTTGGGAGCTGGGTAAGGCCAGTGACTGCCAGCTTTCCCCCACTTCCCTGACAACCTGCACGACTCATCAGAGGCAGCCATAATCCTTTTAGGAACATAACTCCATTGACCTGGGAACCTCACTCCAATCCCCCATGGCAGCTGCAGCAAGACCCACACAAGTAGAGTCTGAGCTCAGACATGCCCAGCTCTGCCTCTACCTTGTGCTTCTTCCCTACCTACCCTGGTAACCAAAGACAAAGGGCGTTTACTCTTAGAAGTTCTAGGGCACTGCCCACTGCCTGTTCCTCCCCTTACTACCATAGCTGATGCTGTCTTGAAAGTGCCACCTAGCACAAAAATAGTGCATTAATCAACCAAAGCTAAGGACCCTCATAGAGTCCATTTCATACCCCTGCCACCTCCACTGGAGTAGATGCTGGTGTCCAAGAGACCCACAGATGGTTCATGGCATAGGAGTCTGTGCAGACAACCTCCAGTACCAGCCTGGAGCCTGGTAGACTTGCTGAGTAGCTAGAGAGATAAGCATGACAGCTCAGCTCTCAGGAAGCCACATTCCTAGGAAAAAGGGGAGAGTACTACATCAAAGAAACACCTTGTGGGATGAAAGAAAGTGAACAACAGCCTTGAGCCCTAGCCCTTCCCTCTGACTGCCTTCCCAAATTAGAAGGAACCAGAAAATCAACTCCAGTAATAGGACAAAACAAGCTTCTTTAACATTCCCCCCAAAAATCACAGACTCTCCAGCAATGGATCCAAACCAAGAAGAAATCCCTGATCTGACAAATGGAATTCAGAAGATTAGTTATTAAGCCAATCAGGGACGTACCAGACAAAGGTGAAGACAAATGTAAGGAAATTAAAAAAAAATGATATAACAAGTGAAGGGAGGAATATTCAATGAAATAGATAGCATAAGTAAAAAATAATAAAAACTTCGGGAAACAGTGAATGCACTTATAGAAATGCAGGATGCTATGGATGGTCTCAGCAATAGAATTGAAAAAGCAGAAGAACTTCAGAGCTCAAAGACATGGTTTTAAATTAACATAATCAAAGACAGGAAAATATGACCAAAGCCTCCAAGAAGTCTGAGATTATGTTAAATGACCAAACCTAATATAATCAGCATCCTTGAAGAAGAGAAATTCCCTAATAGTTTAGGGAATTTATTAAAGGAATATTTGAGGAATATTCCTTCCCTAACCTTGCAAGAGAACTAGACATCCAAATACAAGAAGCTAGAAGAACACCTGGAAAATTCATCACAAAAAGATCATCACCTAGGCACATTGTTATCAGATTATCTGAAGTTAAGGTGAAGGAAAGATTTTTAAGAGCTGTGAAGCAAAAGCACCAGGTAACCTATAAAGAAAAACCTATCAGATTAACAGCAGCTTTCTCAGCAAAAACCTTATAAGCTAGAAGGTATTGAGGTCTTATCTTCAGCCTCCTTAAACAAAACAGCCAATAGTTTTGTACCCGATGAAACTAAGCTTCATAACTAAAGATAGTCTTTTTCAGACAAATGCTGAGAGAGTTTGCCACTATCAAGTCATCATGACAAGACTGCTAAAAGGAGCTCTAAATCTTCAAACAAATACTGGAAACACATCAAAACAGAACCTGTTTAAAGCATAAGTCTCACAGGACCTACAAAACAAAAATACAATAATAATTAAGGTATACAGGCAACAAATAGCAGGATGAATGCAATGGTATCTCATATCTCAATACTAACATTGAATGTAAATGACCTAAATGCTTTACTTAAAAAATACAGAACTGCAGAATGGATAAGAATTCACCAACCAACTATCTGCTGCCTTCAAGAGACACACCTAACATATAAGGACTCACATAAACTTAAGGTAAAGCTATGGAAAGAGACATTCTATGCAAATGGAGACCAAAAGCAAGCAGGGGTAGCTATTTTTGTGTGAGACAAAACAAACTTTAAAGGAGCAGCAGTTAAAAAAGGCAAAGAGGGTCATTACATAATGATAGAAGGCCTTGTCCAACAGGAAAACATCCCAATCCTAAATAAACATGCACCTAACCCTGGAGCTCACAAATTTATAAAACAATTACTAATAGGCTTAAGAAATGAGATAGACAGCAACACAGTAATAGTGAGGGACTTCAGTATTCCCCTGACAGCACTAGACAGGTCATCAAGACAGAAAGTCAACAAAGAAACTATGGATTTAAACTATGCCCTGAAACAAATGGACTTAACAAGTATTTATAGAATCTTCTACTCAGCAACTGCAGAATATACATTCTATTCAACAGCATATGAAACTTTCTGTGAGATAGACCGTATGATAGGCCACAAAACAAACCTCAATAAACTCCAGAAAATCGAAATTATATCAAGTACTTTCTTAGGTCACAGTGTAATAAAACTGAAAATCAACCCCAAAAGGAACCTTCAAAACCACGAAAGTACATGGAAATTAAATAGCCTGCTCCTCTTTGATCATTGGGTCAAAAATGAAATCAAGATGGAAATTAAAAAGTTCTTCAAACTGAATTACAATAGTGACACAACCTATCAAAACCTCTGGGATACAACAAAAGTGGTGCTAAGAGGGTAGCTCATAGCCCTGAATATTAAAATATGCGCTCTGAATGAAGAGACCCCAAAACAGGCTTTGCGCGAGCAACATGGCTGTTTATTCACCTGGGTGTGGGTGGGCTGAGTCCAAAAAGAAAGTCAGTGGAGGGCAGTCAGATAGGAGTTGTTTTTACAGGTTTGGGGTAGGCCATGGAAAGTTATACAGGTTTACAGTTTAGGGCAGTTTTTGCAAGCTGGGAGGGAGTTGTAGGGTCTGGAGTCATGAGATTGACAAAGGTTGGTTTCAGAGTCCAGTTGCCTTATCTATTGAGGCGAGAACAAGGAACAGAATGTCTCAAAGTTAATTAGGTGCTCATCATTCTTCCTCTTTTCATGGTCTTCCAGTTACTTCAGATTTTCTAATTCTGGGAGGCCATTCAGAAGTGTGTGCATGTGGGTCACGGAGATCGCCATGGCGTCCATGGCACTGTCAGTCAGCCTAAAAGACCTTACATTTCTGTCC